TTTTCAAAACCGGTGTCAAGTATAATATCAGAGTTTTTCGCCCAGTGTGGGCGTAGTTTGATTCCAAAAAAGCTGAGACTTGCCATGATAAAATCTTAGGAGGTTACCTTTCGAATGGTGTATGTCCTGTCAATTCACTCCGTCATCACTAATTCACTTTTTTTCAAACTGATGTCTAGTATAATATCAGAGTTTTTCGCCCAGTGTGGGCGTAGTTTGATTCCAAAAAAGCTGAAACTTGCCGTGCTAAAATCTCATTATCCAATTTACATTACTCATATAATATCATTGCAAATCATATTTGCTTTAACCATTCTTCTCCATATACTTCATCCTCAAAGCTTCGAATCTTTTACAAGAAATGACTGTATGCAGAATTTATTCGCAATAAAATCCCATTTTAATTATACGTCTCTTGGTTTTCGATTTGCATCTCCATACTCATCATCCGAATTGAGGCCATAGAACGATTCGAGGGTTGAATTAGCAGTTGGCACCACTGGGCCACCTTCGTCGAGGAACATTCTTCGAACATTTTTTGTCTTGGTCGATCTAAACGATCTTGTTATAGTAACCATGACGACAAAGTAAAATTGCACCAAAAGTTGAAGAAAGGTGGCAAAAATTTATGGAGCAAAAATTTAAAACATGTAATTTGAAGAGAAAAAGCTTTCAGATGTCTAATTGTTATATGCTAAAAGAATTTCCTAAAATACGACCAAAAATAATATTAGAGATCCAAACAAAAATTAAATTGCGCTGGTAAGGGCACAGAAATTTCTTGTACATACACGACGAACCCCGAAAATTCCGCTTCTTTCGTGGCTCATACCGCCGTGTTGAAGACTGGGATGCCCATGGGATGTCGGTCATTTGTCTAAACATGGGTTCTGTCCAGAGATTGCCACAGTTCCGGAGCCGGCTCTTGGCTCCGGCTCTGAGCGGCTCCGGCCCCGAGCCAGAGCCGGAAATTTTGGGGTCGGCTCCGGCTCCCGAGCCCAAAGTCGGAGCCAGGCTTTCCAGCGGTCAGAAAAGGAAAAATTTCGTGATCTTGTTAAACCAAATTGCTTGAAAAACACTGCGGAGGATGTGACTTGACTGCAAGAACGTTGGCTATATGATCTCTGGCACTAATAACTTTTATTTTGGGAAAAATATTTTTAAACAACATTTTGCATAGGAGCCTTTGTTCGGAGCCGGAGGCCTTTTTAAATTTTTCACGGAGCCAAGAGCCGGAGCTGCAAATTTGGCCTCGGCTCCGGCTCTGGGAGCTAAGAGCCGGAGCCAAAATTTTGACCGTGGCAATCTCTGGTTCTGTCCAAGACGTTCGTTCTCGAACCGCTTTTTCTACGCTATTGTGGGAGTGTTCCACAAAACCTGGTTCCGACCAGAACGTAGAACTCTTCCGCTAACGGCGAGAAAATTCTAGGGACGCCAAGCGTCTCGTTGCCCAATTTGCAATGGGTCCGAGGCTAGCCAGCCGGAGGAACAAGAATGGAGAGTGCCGCTCGTCTGGAAGTCGCAGACATGGCCAGCGGATCACAGGAACTCGTTGACCAGTGGCAGGTTGGTTCTGCGTACGGGACGGAATCCCTGCCTTCGCTGATGAATCTGCCTTTTTTTGGCTTCAATACACAATTCAAACGATACAATGGCGATAGAAATGGCGCTTTTACGGCCGGATAAAGAATAAAAAACCCACATTAACCCAACCATTGCCGGAGCTATTCCCACCCTAAGTATACATCCTACCCTTCTACAGCATCAATCTCCTAGGTAGAGAATACCCAACGTCGCCCCGAGTATAAGTAATTTGGATTGAAAACCCCAGGGTACCCCTCACTTTCAGCTAACAGGGGAAGTACCCCAAGTGCGACGCGCTCAGATTTTGATAAAACTTGGCACAAATTTACTAGTCCTTCCGTAAAGTCGCTGGAATGATTTCGGCGACGCGCACTGTGCAAGAAAACTCAGGGTGCGAGCGACAGCTCGAAAAAGCTTATTGCACAGTGCAAAAAGCCAAAAATTGCACAGTGCAAAGTGAACTTTCGTTTTCGCGGAGTGCATGTCGCCGAAAACATTCCAGCGACTTTACGGAAGGACTAGTAGAGTAATTTTTTCTAAAATACTAGTCGCCGCAAAAAGTCTTTGGAATTTTCTGCGACTCTGCACTGTGCATGAACCCGAAAAGTGCTTTTGCACAGTGCAGAGTCGCAGAAAATTCCAAAGACTTTTTGCGGCGCCTATTAGCATTTTCACAAAGTGCCTGGACATTTGTCGCGGCGCGCACTGTGCACAAAAGCCCCCGATTTTTCGCACCGTGCATCGACCTTTTTTTGGGTTTGCACTGTGCATTTGAAATATCGCTGCGACGTAAGCTTTTCTCAACAGCGCCGCCGCGATTTTGATCAAAAATGTGCACAGTGCAATCGGCTTTTTTGGGGTTTGCACGGTGCGCAAAGGCAAAAATCCACAGTGCGTCAGCGACAAAAGTTCAAGATGCACTGTGCGAAAGCGAAATTATGTCCAGGCACTTTGTGAAAATGCTAATAGTACTAGTCCGTTCGTAAAGTCGCTGGAATGTTTTCGGCGACATTCACCCCGCGAAATCGAAAGTTCACTTTGCACTGTGCAAATTTTGGCTTTTTGCACAGTGCAATAGGCTTTTTTGGGCTGTCGCCCGCACCCTGAGTTTTCGTGCACAGTGCGCGTCGCCGAAATCATTCCAGCGACTTTACGAACGGACTAGTACTAGTCCAGCAAAAAAGTCCGCGGAATGGCTGCACTGTGCTGTTCGCGCATGCACTGTGCATTTTTCGGCGCGCACAGTGCAAATTATAGGGTGCGCGCGACGGAATTGGGGGCACAGTGCGAAAAGACGTTTCAAAGTCATTGCACAGTGCAAAAAGTCCCCTTTTTTTGGGTTTGCACGGTGCGCTCGGTTTCGGCCAGATTTCGGCGACGTCGCACGGTGCGGTTGGCTCCCCGGTTGGATGCACAGTGCGGACTTCAAATTACGCTTAGGAGGTTAATAACTGCAGTAAATTAGGACATTGCTTGACTAAAATGCATGATAATTATAAAATGATGACTGTAGAAAGGATTGTGTATTCAGTGGCGTTTTCTAAGGTTGTTTTAGACCAAAAATGTTGTCACACAGTAATTTTTGCACTTTTTGAGTGCATTTTTTGCGAAAAAAGATCATATTTTGACTCTACAAAGGTGTTGACAACTTTATTGACTCAATAATATATTTTGAGTCTTTAAAGTGTAAATTCACTATCATTAATTCAAGATTACACAGTAAAAAGCTCAATCTCCGGAGCGCCGCACAGTGCAAACCGAAGGAAACTTTGGGCTGCACTGTGCGCACATGTGCTTTTTTCCCCCCAAAATCATTCCGCACTGTGCAATCAGGTCAAAAAACGAACGATTTCCCAAGCGGCAGCCCCAATTTCGGCGACATGTCGCAAGAAATTTCGATTTTCCTTCGAAAATCGCTGCGATTTCCAAGGCGAAACGGAAATCCACCTTGCACTGTGCGAAAAGCCCAGAAATCGCCGCACAGTGCCGATTTTGGCATTTGCACTGTGCAAAATCCAAATGCACCGTGCGAAAAATCAATCGCAGGGAATGCACTGTTCTGATTCGAAACTGCACCGTGCGGGGTGCGAAATCCATTCCGCGGACTTTTTTGCTGGACTATTACTAGTCCGTTCGTAAAGTCGCTGGAATGTTTTCGGCGACATGCACCCCGCGAAACCGAAAGTTCACTTTGCACTGTGCAATTTGTGGCTTTTTGCACAGTGCATTAGGCTTTTTTGGGCTGTCGCTCGCACCCTGAGTTTTTTCGCACAGTGCACGTCGCCGAAATCATTCCAGCGACTTTATGAACGGACTAGTACTAGTCCTTCCGGAAAGTCGCCGGACTGATTTTTGGCGTTTGCACTGTGCGAAAAAAGTCAGGGTGCGAGCGACACCCGAAAAAAGCCTATTGCACGGTGCGAAAAGCAAAAAATTGCACAGTGCAAAGTGAACTTTCGTTTTCGCGGAGTGCATGTCGCCGATTTCCGTCCGGCGACTTTCCGGAAGGACTATCAGTCTGGCCGAAAAAGAACCGGCCTCCCCGGACCCTTCCGTCGCAATCACTCCAAACCCCAATTTGCATCGCGGAGAAATTTGGAGGGCGTCGCCGAAAGAAAGAGCAAAAACAACGCATCGCCAGCGATAAAAGTGGGTTTTGCACAGTGCAAATGCCCTTTTTCTGTTGTTTCGCACTGTGCAATCAACAAAATTCCCACAAATTCGGCGATCTTTCAATGTCGCGCGCACTTTTGCGATGCATCGCAAAAACATTCAATTTTGAGGTTACGATTTCGAGGAAATCGCACGTCGCCCCTGCAAATTCGGGTTCGTCGCGCGCAAAAGTGCACGTCGCTAGTGCAAAAACGGAAATTGCGGCGACAAATGCGAAATGAAAGAAGAATGCACAGTGCGAAAGTTCGGGTTTTGGACTTCGCGCCCTCAAATTCGGGTTTGTCGCGCGCGAAAGTGTGCAAAAACGGGAAATCGCGGCGACAAATGCGAAGAGATGCACCGTGCGGATGAAATGAAAGAAGAATGCACGGTGCGAAAAAAAAAATTGTCAGGACTTTTGAGCGCGATTAGTACTAATCGCGACATAAAGTCCTGACACATTTTGCACCGTGCATTCTTCTTTCATTTCATCCGCACTGTGCATCTTTTCGCATTTGTCGCCCCGATTTCCCGTTTTTGCACTAGCGACGTGCACTTTCGCGCGCGACGAACCCGAATTTGGGGGCGCGACGTCCAAACCCCGAACTTTCGCACGGTGCAAAATGTGTCAGGACTTTATGGCGCGACTAATATCAGTCTGTCGGAAAAATAACGGAGGATCGTCGCAGCAAAATGTCTCGCCTCGCCGCTACGTCGCCGCAAAAAGTCTTTGGAATTTTCTGCGACTCTGCACTGTGCGCGAACCCGAAAACACATTTTGCACCGTGCATCCGGCCCGAAAAGTGCTTTTGCACTGTGCAATTTTGTTGATTTTGCCTTATTGTCGCGCGCGATTCACACTTTTCTCAGCGACAAATCGACATTTCGGAGTGCGACGGGATTTGGGGGCCGCGAAAAATTCCAAAGACTTTTTGCGCCGACTGATACTAGTCGCGACATAAAGTCCTGACACATTTTGCACCGTGCGAAAGTTCGGGGTTTGGACGTCGCGCCCCCAAATTCATTTTGCACCGTGCATTCTTCTTTCATTTCATCCGCACTGTGCATCTTTTCGCATTTGTCGCCGCGATTTCCCCTTTTTGCACTAGCGACTTGCAAAACCCGAACTTTCGCACCGTGCATTCTTCATTCATTTCGCATTTGTCGCCGCGATTTCCCGTTTTTGCGCTAGCGACGTGCACTTTCGCGCGCGACAAACCCGAATTTGGGGGCGCGACGTCCAAATCCCGAACTTTCGCACGGTGCAAAATGTGTCAGGACTTTATGGCGCGACTAGTACTAGTCCTTCCGGAAAGTCGCCGGACGGAAATCGGCGACATGCACTCTGCGAAATCGAAAGTTCACTTTGCACTGTGCAATTTTTGGCTTTTTGCACTGTGCAATAAGCTTTTTCGAGCTGTCGCTCGCACCCTGAGTTTTTTCTCAACGTGCATGTCGCCGATTTCCGTCCGGCGACTTTCCGGAAGGACTAGTATATGCGAGAATCCTATTACGCTTTTTCAAAAGTGCAGACACATTTTGTCGTGGGCCGCACCGTGCACAAAACTCCCTTTTGCGGGGTGCATTTTGACCTTTTGCACTGTGCAACCGGATATCGCTGCGACGCAAGCTTTTCTCAACGGAGCCGGCGCGAATTTTTTGAAATTGCACAGTGCAAAAATGTTTCGAATCGGATCGCGTCGCGCGGGGAACACGAAACTTGCACTGTGCGGTGCAAAAAAGGCCGGAAAATGTGTCTGCACTTTTGAAAAAGCGTAATACCTCGCGCTTTGCAGAGACAACCGAGATTTTTAGATCGAAAGTTGGCGAAAATATGACACTTTTTGCCGAATTTCGGCACAAAAAGTTTTATGCCTATTTCTACCATAGAGGGCAACGTCGTAGTGGACGTTTTTGTCCCCACCCCGGTTTTGTCCCCAAGACGGTTTTGTCCCCAGGACGTTTTTGTCCCCACTTTTTTCGAGCCTTTTTGTCCCCAGACCGGTTTTGTCCCCAGGACGGCTTTGTCCCCAAGACGTTTTTGTCCCCACTTTTTTTATTTTTTTGTCCCCACACCGGTTTTGTCCCCAGGACGTTTTTGTCCCCAAGCTGGATAATACGATTAAAAATTATGCATTCAGATGTTAATGCTGTTGGTTTGGTGCACAGTACTGCTCAAACAACTTGTTCTTAGCGCTGGGTACTGTATAGTACGATGTGGTACTATATAGCACGAGGTAAAAATTAAGCCATAACACGTCAATGCTATGGGTTTGAAGCCCAGTACTTCTCAAAAATGTGTTTTAGCACATGGTACTATATAGCACGAATTTGTTTTTGCACAAAATGAACGTCTGGTCAGTACTGCATACCAAAACAACGTCATTCACGCGTTATAGCTTAATTTTTACCTCGTGCTATATAGTACCACCTTGTACTATATAGTACCA